TTTTTTAGATATTTTCTTTTTACATAATTTTACAGTAGGTTGCACTTAAAAATTTCTACAACCCTTTTCCCAAAGGACCACATTTTGGCATATTTGCAAAAACGTGGGGTGAGGCGGCCAACTATTTTAATAGTTAAAAAAACATAACTTAAAGTTAAAATTAATAAAACATAACAAGGTATTTGAACTTAACTTACTTTTATTTTGTTAGTAAACTTCAAAAATTTACATTTGAATAATATTATAATAATAACATTAATTAAATTCAATTTAACATTTTAAGGAAATATAAATTTGTTATTCTTAAAAAATGGTTTATAAAATTCAATGTTCAACACAAAAGACGAAAAATTTAGCGTTGGCTGCCTAACCCCACGAGTACTTTTTTAAGAAAACATTCATAAAACCCGTAATATTAAAAATATCGCAATTCTATTAACACTATCGTCTTCGGCACTAAATTCTGCATTAAAATCATTATACAAGAATTTTATTCATGTAACTCTATTAACTAAAATCACCAAAATAACTCTTAGCAAAGTTACATCCAAAAAGTCTGTTTTCATAAATGATACTGTCATTGCTAAACTGCTGCAGCAATAATGCCCATCTATTAGCAACTAAAGTAAACTACCATAAGCAGTCTACATTATCAATAGCGCACGATTTGAAAAAATTATGCGGGGATAAGAAGCAATTGGCTGCCTCACCCCGTTGGCTGCCTCGCCCCGTTCTCCTCTAATTTATGGAAATTTATGCGGTAATCTATCAACATTTTAACGATAGTTTATAAAACTATGTAAAACACAAACGAGAATTAAAAAAATTAACATCGGTAATTTATGGTAATTTATGAGATAATTTATGAAAATTTTGACGATAAATTTTTAACTAAAAAATTTAACGTTGGTAATTTATGGAAATTTATTAGGTAATTTACTTATTTGGTTTTTTTGAATTTAGTTTAATTAAATAATAATTTAACTTAATTACGCAGTTAAACGCTCTTTATTAATTGTAAGTGTAAAAGGTGTCGAAAATTAAAATTTATTATCCTGTAGGTTCGATAGGGTAGTGGTTAGAGTGTTAGGCTAGAAGTCCGTAGGTCGTAGGTTCGATTCCCCACAGTGGCAAATTTTATTTCGTTATAAGTTTGCGTTTATTCTGCGTTGTAAACATTAATTTGATTAAAAGTTAAAAGTTGGGGATTATTACATGTTTGCAAGTATAAATTAATTTTTTTATTATATTAATATTGAATTTAAATAAATTTTCCACTAGATTGGAAAATAGACGGTTTGGTCTGATTCAGGCCAGCGCCAGAAGATTTTTCTACACGGGTACTAAACCAGTACTGAACCAGTACTGCACCAGTACTAAACTAGTACTGGCTGCCAGTACTGCGCCAGTAACATCCAACCAGTACTGAAAAGCGTTATCATTTCGGTCAAATGCCAGTACTGGTTCAACCATGGCGGCCAGTACTCCGCCAGTACTGGCGCAGTACTGCGCCAGTTGTCAATTTTTGCTTGGATGTTGGATCCCATTTACACATTAACCCTTCAGTGGTACGAGTTAATATATTTACCAAATGGGCATAGCTCATTTGTTTCACATTCTAAAATGAATTCCTGCTGCGACTTAAAAATTCCAATTTTCGCAAAATAAGAACATACAAAACTAGTGGGTTTTTTTGTTGTTGGAGAGTCGCTTCTAGGTTCAGTACGTTGTAGTACCAACTCTTATTTCACCCGTTGACGGGCGAAATAATCACTTCGTAAATTCTACTCTTAGTAAAAAATTGAAACTAATCATATGACGAACATTAATGTTAATTCATGCTAATTCTGAAAGATTGAAATAAAAACTGATTAATGTATATTTATTATTATTATAGAGGCATTTCACGTCAGAAATATCACGATTTGCAAAGGGTATGCCGATTTTCGCAAAAGTTTGTGGGATTATAGTTCTATATAAGAGACTTCTTTCCCTCAAATTTTTTCAAAAAAAATTCAAAATTGTTGAAGATACGCCATTTTGAATTTTAATATTAATTTTATAAAATTTTGAATATCTCGGAATATTGTTTATGGATTTTTATGAAATTTACACATTTTTCAGGTAAAAGTATGTACTTTAAAATGCAAATAAAGTTAATAAAAAAAAAATTAATTTTTAAATAAAAAATTAAAAAAAATTTTTTAAAACAATTTTTTGTTTATTTACTCCTCTCTGAGAAAAATGTTATTAACATATTTGGATTCCTTATGAATTCACTTTTAATTTCATAAAAAAAAATTGATGGAGACTCAACTGGTTCCAGAGATATTGAATTTTTTGTAAAAAATAGTCATAGTTACAGCAGCAATGCACGACTGCGGTAACGTACTACGCGACTTGTGCAGTATGGTGCTATGGCGCGGCGACGCTTTTTTTTACAAAAAATTCAATATCTCCGGAACCAGTTGAGTCTCCATCAATTTTTTTTTATGAAATTAAAGGTGAATTCATAAGGAATCCAAATATGTTAATAACATTTTTCTCAGAGAGGAGTAAATAAACAAAAAATTGTTTAAAAAATTTTTTTAAATTTTTTTATTTAAAAATTAATTTTTTTTTATTAACTTTATTTGCATTTTAAAGTACATACTTTTACCTGAAAAATGTGTAAATTTCATAAAAATCCATAAACAATATTCCGAGATATTCAAAATTTTATAAAATTAATATTAAATTTCAAAATGGCGTATCTTCAACAATTTTGAATTTTTTTTGAAAAAATTTGGGGGAAAGAAGTCTCTTATATAGAACTATAATCCCACGAAGTTTTGCGAAAATCGGCATACCCTTTGCAAATCGTGATATTTCTGACGTGAAATGCCTCTATAGTTTTTAGTAATTTTTATTACAAAAAAAGTATTGAAAAAATTAAGATTTAAAAATGTTTAAAACAATTTGGAAATATTCCCCAGATAGTGTCTTCCTGTCAAACATATATAAAATATGTAACAATTATATCACACACAATGTCAGGTTTTATTTGTAGTGAGGTACATGTAACAAGAAAAGCTGCAGCATACGGTTGTCAGTTATCACCTCAGATTGGTAGTTAACAAAGCATTTCTTTATTTATATTCTTATGGATGTTTAGCATAGTATCGGACTTCTGTACGTTAAGTTAATGTGTTGACGAAACAGGTTTATTTTATAATCTAATACCGGACAGAACGTTGAAATTTAAAAATGAACGTGGAAAATTATCCAAAGAAAGAGTTACAGTTTTAATTGGTGCTAACATGACAGGAACGGAGAAACGCCAATTGCTTGTAATATTGGAAAGTCAAAACAAATTTTACCCGTAAAGTATGAAGGAAATAGAAAATAATGAATAACGTCCGCATTATTTACTAAAGAATTGGGAAGTTCAGATGATACATTAAGAAAAAATAGGAAAATTCTCGTTTTTGTTGATAATTGTGGATGCAAAATAGAAATTGCAATATAGAAAAAAATCTCACATTAACTTAACTGTTAATCTTTAAATTTATTAAATCTTCTGAAAGGGAGAACAAAATTTGTTTTATGGGAGAGGCTTGGAATTCAGAAAGTACAAAACATTATTGTGACTGTGATATGTAAAATATTTGTTATGCAATACTTACATAACTTATTGTTGTTTGGATAGAGATTCCATCAGAATTCCGATAAGAACTTTCAGCGGAAATCTTGTAGAAATCTGCCGGAATCCTGGAGGAAATTATCATCGGAATTTGATAGAGTCTACAGAAGACATTTTGAGGGTAATATTTCCAGATGGTTTGCAATGTTTTCATTTGATTTGATTTCATGTATTTACTTGCCCAAATCAATATTTATAAATACGCGATTATTTTCACTAGGGAGCTTATTGTTTATGTACAAGATCTTGTATAAGTTCAGACATACAAACTTATTTTTAATTTTATTGCAGAAATTGTACAAAACTGACACACGTTTAGTAGCTAAATACATATTGTACATATTCTCTTGTACAATGGATTATGTACAGGGATTATATCGATGCATGGGGGAAGAGTGTGACAATACAAATCGACGACGAAAAACTCTTTTCAAAAAAATATTAATAGTTTTCAATTATATTATATTATTTCTCTTAAATATTATTTTATTTTATTTAACATCTTATCGGAATATTTTACATAAAAGATTTTAATGTTTTTTTGTTTAAAATCTAATTAAAATTAAAAAATACAAAAAAACTATCTCACGTTAAAGAATATTTTGAAAAAGTATAAAAATCCAAATACCAACTTCTCGTCATTGTACAAACAACCTAAAAACCAAATTTTTGCTGCTTTCCTAAATAGCATTACAAATGACATGTTTTTCGTGGTTGATCTGAATTGGAACATTCTTCCCCCAAAACGACGATATACAGGGATTTTCATTGACGCAGAAAACAATAAGCAAAAAATTTCCATAATTCATTACCACACAGCACCTAAATTTTCCTAAAAATTTATTAAAAATCCAGAAAACATCCTGACATCAGGTTGACCATTTTAATAAATAATAAAGTCTGCGGAATATTTGCAGACTTTGTGCAGATTTTTTTACTTAGGGTCCCACTTCAATAAACGTTTAGCGTCAGACTTTCCTGAAAATTTATCTTGAAACTTTCCTGAACATTTAAATTACATTTTTTAAAATTAAATTACAAATTTAATTTAAATGTTCAGGAAAGTTTCACGCCAAACATTTATTGAAGGGTGACATTTAAATCTTTACAACATTTTCACTAAACTTTGCAAGTAAATACTCCAAAGTTTGCAAATAAATATTTAATCAATTTTTATGAAAGTTTCTGTGCTGTGTTGGTAGATATCTATGTAAAAGCCTCGAATAAATATTCTTAAATAAAATAATTTTTTTTATTTACAAATCTTCTTAATTGTTTTTATAGAAGGAAGATATAATAATAATAATGCTGTAAATACCGTGTCTAAGAGCTCGATTACTTTTGCAAAGAAATACCACCATGCACCGGAGGACAGCTGAAAATAACAAATTAATTCATAAGTATATTAGGTATTAATATTTACTTCTTGTGAAACAACTAAAATATCACCACTCTAGAAGTTTTTAAAAAAATCAATTTTTTTTGCTTAAATAATACTTTAGTGTCTTGAACACAATATGTTATTGGTCCTAGAGTAAAAAAAAATTTTAATTGTTTTAATTATTAATATTTCTCGGACGTAAAAGGTTGATTAATAATTACTTTGTTACATATTCATGTTTATCTCAAAGTTGTATAAATATTTTTCATCATTTAGGGGCCATTCAAGTATTACGTAAGCATATTTTTCAGGTTTTGAGACCCCCCCCCCTCCCCCATATAAGATTTTTTATATGCATTAGCGCCATTTTTTCTAATGGAAATAAGCAATAGCTAGACCCCCCTCCCCCTTAAATGCTTACGTAATACTTGAATGGTCCCTTTAGTATTTATATTTACTCTCATAGATCACTGTATTGTAAAATGGTATTGTAACCTTTTGTTCCAGGACTTAAACTTGTTTGTCCGTTTTGGTCATAAAAATAGTCGATTTTGAATATAACATTTATAACAGACATTTTGTTATTTTTAAATAAAAATTTGTTTATACTTTAATATGTATTTAATACACCCACCAAAAAAATCCTGTTTCTGTTTTCATTTTCCCAAAACAAATCATCAAAGATAGGTTTCGTTTCATGTCTCTAGAGTAGTGTTACCCCAAAGTACAAAAAAGATTACTTACTAAAGTCTGCATTTCTCTGTCTGGTTGAATTTTCTGGGTATTACAGCTATTACTGAAGATGTATCGGAAGAAATTTAAATTAAAAGCCTGTCAATTAATATTTAATTAAATGTAAAATTCATCAAATATTTTAGAGAAAATTTTTAATTCAAATTTTATTCACCGTCGATGCTAAGTAAATGCTGAAAATCACTTGAAATCCATTATAAGCAATCATAAGTTTTTTTAATTCCAAAGCAGGCCTTTTCTCCATCATCTTTGGACCAATTTTCAAGACGAAAACGAGATATATTGCCAAAATTAAGATCAATGGTCCAGGAGACCCCATAAGAAGCCAGGAATCCACCATGGGATCTTTAAGAAATAGTAACATTATTTTTCATTTAATTTGAACTTCGAAATGATATTTTAATATAAAATGAATGAAAAAAGCATATTTGTAGTTGAAAATCATTTATTTAGATTATTAAAAATCAATTATTTTTATTTTTCATATTATTTACAAGAATATTGGGTACAGTATTATCTCAGTTCTATTTTTTGTATACTGATAATAATAGCATACAAATATTTTTTAGGGATACAGTTATTTTTCTAATAAATGAAATTATTCTATACTCTTAACCATAGAAAAAGTTCACATATCAAATAAAACCAAATTGTTATTGGAAAAATGATAAATAATAAAGCTAAAGATTATAAATGAGTGAGAAAAAAATCTACGATTAAAATATAGCATATGAATTATTGTAAAGAAAGTGTCGTTATGTCAATTTAATTTTAAATATTTGAAAATTGAGGGCATTCGTAAATCATTCATATTATTTCTGAAATACAAGTCCTACTTCCTACTATAGAATTTATTACGGAATTAAAAGTGTTAATTTAATTTTTACTAAATCTGAAGGTTACTACTTTCTCAAATTCCAAAGAATTCTGATTTGCATAGTACTTTCTTAAATATACACAAATATATATGTATATACTTTTTTATGCCTCATATAAAGCGAAATTTCCTTTTCGGAATTTCATAATTATATATTTATATATTCTACTATTATTTATTATTAGAATTAAATTGACACTATGTCGATTATACTAAAACTTGTAACATATAATGTACTATGCTAATTTTGAAAATATGTTTAACAGTCTTCATACTATTTATTTATATACTCTTTTAATTTTTTATAAATTGTTTATAAAAATGTTCGCAGTTTGCAACAAATTTAAACATTATTATAAAGTGCATGATTTAACAGAATTTAAAATAATTAAAAACTAAAAATTTAAAAAAAAAGAAAAAAAAATCTTACGATATATAAACAAGCGGAACGTCACTGATTCGCTGCAAATTCAAATACCGTAATTGAAAAACATGTGACTACGATATTGGGTCAATATTGCATATATTGTTCTGCGATATTTACACAATACTTTTTGAATCTCATTTAATAAAGGAGTCATTGATTAATTTTAATTAGCAAAAATTTCATCTAGTTTTTAATAATAATTTTAGAAAAAATTTCACTAAAATATAAATAAAAAAATTATAGCTGCTAAATGAAATAGAAAAAATTATGAAGATAATATTAAAATTAAATTACATAAATAATATTGTTAATAATATTTAAGAAATTTATACTTCATATAGACCAATCGAATCGTCTTCGTACAAGAAATAAAATTCTATAACTTATTTACTTGAATTTAAAGAAAAAACAAAATTTTTAGCAAAAAAGTTGTGACTAATTTTATAAATTAATTAATTAATTTTCAATTAAATTCAAAAATTTATGTAAAATAATCAATCCATTATGATACAAAGAGCATAGTTTAATTCTATAACATCTTAAATTTTTAGGCAAAAAAAATTCTTTTTTAAAATTCTTTTTAGTATAAACAACATTTTTCTGAGCGATTTTATGAAATCCTATACATTTTCAGGTAATAATATTTTATGTAAGTACTATTTTTCATTAAATCTGTCAAAACGTATATTCAAGATATCGAATACACAGAAAGAGATTTACATTCTTCGTAAACGTTTTTTAAATTAAAAAATTTTTTTTTAATTTTTAAAATAAGAATGTTTAAAAAAATTGTTTAATATTATTTTAATTAGAAACATTAATGAAACAAAAAATTTAGTTACCTAATATATTTCATGCAAGATCCTTTTTTACTATTATTATTTTTTTAAATTATTAACAAGCTAATTAGTAATTAAATTGTAAATTAAATTTATTTTAAAAAGTAAATAACATATTTATATTAAGTCTTACTATAAATAAATAATTATTGTTTTATATAACTGTAATTTTTTTCTATTTTATATGACGATTTTATGAATATTCGATGTTAATAAGAATTAACATTTAATAATGACTTAATGGGAATAGTCTAAAAACTTACCTCTATTTTTTTCAAGTATTTCATTGTAGTTGCTGACAACTAGTCCTATTAAATTCGCCATTTGATTGTAACTGTAATATTTTAAAAATTTCAGGAAATGTAATTATATTAAAAGTTAAATATTTTTAATTTTTTTAAAAAATATGTTTTACAAATCAGATAATTATAAATTTTTTTATTTTCCAAACTTAACAATTTAAGATTCAGAAATGAAATTTGACTTAAGTGAAACTGTAATCGAAATAAAAATTCCGTTATAAAATAAAGGCACATTTAAATAACTGTCAAAACTTTAATTCATAACTAAGAGTGTAACATACTTTTGAAGATTTTTTTAAATTTAATTTTTAATTTTAAGTTTTCAATTGTAATGTATAAATTACGCACTTTTTAATTACTTTTTTTGGACACTGATGTTTAAAAAAGTACTGCTTTCATGAAAAGTAAATTATTAAAAATCATTGAATTAAAAAATCACACCCATAAACGCTTTTTAAGAGATTTCGAACTTTCATTAAGGAACTAATCAATTTTTTTGACTAAAAAGAGAAAAGAATTAAAAATTCTCTTCCAACAATTTATGTAGGTCAAGAGATGAATTCGAAGCGATATGTCTAAACGCGAACGAAAAACTGAAAGATTCGATGAAAGTCAAGTCCAAGTGGAGCTAACACGTGGTCCGATGAAGCACAGAAATCCCCACCTGAAATTCATCTTACCTCTTCTCGATTCTCTGACGCCATACTTATCTCTATATATTTGTCATATTCATATTCTCAAAAAACTTGCTTAAAATTTAACTTTTAACTAACACATTATGCACGCTTTCAAGTGATGCAGTTATTGCAATCGATATGGAAAATAACCGTTTAGAAGATATCTATTTTCAATAAAATAAATAATATATTTTATAAAATATTTTGTAAATATTAATATAATTTATATGTGACCTGGTCTATGAAAAGGGACCTTACGTTTCAAAAAATAATTTTTCACTTTTTTGTTGATTTGGATATGGTTTAAAACGCTCTTTAAGATGGTAAAAACCAAAAGTCATCATTTGTTTAAAATTAAAAACTGAACCATTTCTAGGTAGTCTGAGGTATAATGAATAAGATACTGAAATCCATTTTCAAAAAAGTTGTTACAAAAAAAATTTATATAATTTATAAGTCTTCGTTTTTAAGGGTTTTTCAAAATCATTGCCACAAAATATGGTATTGTTTAAACATCAAAAGTAAATTAAAATACCTGAAACTCGTTACTCGGATGTTTTTGGGATCGCTGATTACGAATCCGATATCAGAATTAAAAAATTCAAAATGGCGAATCAAAAATGGCGGATGTTTTTTTTAAATTTAAAGGATTCGCTTGAAATTCATTATACGGGGTTTTTTGGTGTTCCTGATTACGAATCCGATACTGTCATTTTCGTTAAAAACTGTTATTAGTTAGAAAAGTTGACAGCTGTCAATTATCAAAATTCAAATTTGACATCATATTCGTAATCAGCGACCTCAAAAACCCTATTACTGTCTTTTTTATTGAAAATTATTACTTTTTAGAGAAGTTGGCAGTTTCATTGACAGCTGTCAACTGTAAACTTGTCAATCTTACATCATATTCATAATCAACGACCTCGAAATCCCTTTTATTGTCATTTTCATTAAAAAAAGTTATTATTTAGAAAAGTTGACAGTTTCTTTGACAGCTGTCAACTGTCAAAATTCAAATTTGATTTTAGTCGTAATTAGCGACCTCGAAAACCTTATTACTGTCTTTTTTATAAAAGATGTTCATTTTTTAGAGAAGTTGATAGATGAATTGACAGCTGTCAACTGTCAAATTGTCAATTTAACATCATATTTGTAATCAGCGGCCTTAAAAACCCTTACAAACATGTATCGTGTATTTATACTTATTGTTGCTATGTATTTGGAAAACTTAGATTATTTTTTGTATGTTTGGGGATTTTGTTATTAATTTATATGAAAAATTATTAAAAAAAATTTTTCTTTACTTGTATGTTTTTTATTTTGATACTGTGATAAAGCAAATTTGATTAAAAAATATTAACATTTAAAAAAGTTACAATGATTTTTCTAAGTTTTAACTTTAATTGCTGTATTCTCGAAAACTTATTTTCGCACGTAAGGTCCATTTTCATAGACCAGGTCACATATATTAATATATTCAAATATTTTATAAAATTATTATACGGGGAAATAGGTTAATTAAACTTACCCCGAGGAATGTAAAGCTTGATATGTTTTATACCTTTCTGTTTGCAACTTACCCTGAGAAGTGTAAATATTTGAGCATAAATTTCAAAGTTCAAAAACTTTGAAATTGTTGTTATTTTTTTCATAAACCGTACAAGGCTAGAAATTTCTAGTTTTCTTCAACTGTGCAATTTGTCATGAGTATAAAACATCTACTAATGATAAAAAATAAAAAATAATTTATTTTAAAACTGTTTGAACAATATATTGTTGTCATTTTTTCATAAACTGCACTTAGGGCTAGAAGTTTCTAGATTTTTCTAAATGCAATCAATTGAAAAACTAAAAACTATAAATTTTCTAAACAATGTTTAAATAATAAATTCTTAGTTTTTCTATTATACTTAAATGTTTAAGTTATAAAAAATTGTCAATTAGAACAAAATTAAGAAATTCTATTTTTGAGGACAGTACCTAAATTAAAAAATTAACAAAACAAACTATTTAAAGAATGTTTAAATAATTAATTTTTAGTTTTTCCGAGAAAACCTCTCGGTAGTGATTTTTAGAATAATTTCAGATAACAAATTCCGGTAGTGATTACTGGTAGTAGCTACCAGATGTCTAGCCCTAAGTTTATTTTTAATTTTTCAAAAAACCGTTTTTTGCCCATAACTTAAAAATATTATAAGACACCTATAAATGTTTTTCTTTAATTTTGTAGAGTTTTTTAGACGCATTTTTTGAGCCCTTATTGAACATTTTTCGTCTATATTAACCGGAGATATTAAACTTTTAAGAATCTAAAATTTTGGAAAATAAGACTTTTTTGAAAATTTTGTTAAAAAATGTAGAAGTAACTTTAAAAGTCTCGTTACCAACTTGTAGAGCATTAAAAAACGCTTCGATTGACATATTTTTTAACCTAATTCGATTATAAATTTTAAAATTATTGGTATTTTAAAAACCAAAAATTGTGGGAAATGACATGAAATCATTTCATGAAATGAGCATCAAAATCATAACAAAAAATGTACAACTTGTTTTTAATTTATTATCATCAGTAGATATTTTACTCATGAAAAATTGCACAATTTTTTATCATTAGTAGATATTTAACTCATGACAAATTTCATAATTCAGAAAAAACTATACATTTCTAGCCCTAAGTACAATTTATGAAAAAAATAACAACAATTAATTGTTAAAACTATTTAATAAATTGTTAGGTATACTTTACTTCATACATCAGAAACACTAAAACATTATTTTGATAAGGTTTTTTAATTAATTTTTTTATTTAATGAAGCTTAAAATAATTGTTTTTACGATTTTTAATACTTATTGTTATTAAAAAAATGTTTTAAAACAAAAATTCAAAAATCGGACTGGAAAGATGAATAGAGAATTTAATTACGAAAATTTAGAAAAAAATAAAAATCGTTTCGGTAAAAAATTGTAACGTGTAGAGTGATTTGAAATAAAAAACTACATTACACAGAACCACAAAATTCTTTTAAAGAAAGTATTGACCGGACTATATTTTTATATGTTTTTTGGGTCACTGAATTCGAATCCGAACTCAGTTTTCCACCATCACGTCAAGTTTCTTCACAAATTAATAAAATTCGAAAAAAACTGACTGTAAACAAGATTTAAATAAAAATAAGCAGAAGATTCTATTAAAAAACAACTTTAAAACAATGAAAAAATATTATATACATAAGGTTAAACAATCAAAGAAACTTGTAAATATTCAAAATTTAAGATGGCCGAACCAATATGGCGTCGATTTTTTTAAAATTAATCCAATTCGCCTGAAACTTGTTACTCTGGGGTTTTTGGGGTTGCTAAATACGAATTTCACCTCAGTTTTCAAGAATTCAAAATGACGGATCCAATATGGCTGACCAATTTTTAAAAAAATTATTGGATTTACCTGAAACGTTATACTCGGGGGTTTTCAGGGTCGCTGAATACGAATTTCACCTTAGTTTTCAAAAATTCAAAATCTGATAAATTTTTAAATAATTCGTTAGCCATATTGGATCTGCCATTTTGGATTTTTTAAAACTAAGGTGAAATTTGTATTCAGCGACCCCAAAAACCCCTGAGTAACAAGTTTCGAATAAATCTGATAATTTTTTAAAACATACTTCACCTATATTGGATCCGCCATTTTGGATTTTTTAAAACTAAGGTGAAATTCGTATTCAGTGACCCCAAGAACCCCCGAGTAACAAGTTTAAAGTAAGGGTGCAGTCCCATGCTGAGCAGAAAACAGAATGCAAAGCAGAATTTCGTGAGTGCAAGAGAGATAGTCAGATATCACTATCCTTTCCACTCTCACGAAATTCTGCTTTGCATTGTGTTTTCTGCTCAACATGGGACCGTACCCTAAATCTGATACATTTTTAAAAAATTCGACAGCCATATTGGATCCGCCATTTTGAAGAAACTTGACGTGATGGCGCAAAACTGAGTTCGCATTCGAATTAAGCGACCCAAAAAACATATAAAAAACATGGTCCGGTCAATACTTTCTTTAAAAAAAATTTTGTGGTCCTGTGTTATTGTCGCCACCTGTGAAGCGCTTGGACGTCGCTCTTTAAAATTATATCATTTGCTCAATTTTTAAAGGTATGTACTAAAATTTTTTTTTAGAAATGAAAGTGTAGAAAAATGGATTTTTGTAGTTTTTAAAATTTGTTTCGTAACCAAACCAGAAGCCACTTAAAACTTTAATTGTTTATAATTAATTAACAATTTATTTTGCATTAAGATGAATTTTTAAAATTTTTGTTGTTATTAATAGAGGCATTTTTTGTACATATCTACCAAATATTATTAAATTTTATCAAAAGACAACGAAGCAATAGTGAATTATCTAAATAGGTACTTTAAAGTTTAATTGTTTATAACTAATTGAAAAATTAATTTTTCTTGTTTTGCAATTTGATAGTGTGACTCAGTGGTTTGCGATCGTCGAGGTTAAGCACACTTGAGTACAGTGTTAGTACTTGATGATCGCGCTTTGATATCGATGTAAAATTATGTGCACTGTCGATTATTATTGTAAAGTATACACCGTTAGAACTCAGCTGTTGATAAACCGGTTGTACTCAGCTGAGATTTTCTACAGTTTCCCTCCTCTCAGTCGAGGAAACCCATTTAATTAGATGTGTGGTCCATGCGAGTATTTGAATTAATTTCAAGTCGTTCTGTAGACGCAGTATTTAATAAATTTAGATTTTAAGGCATTATTTGTAAAATAAATTTACAAGGATATTTTATAACATGACATTTTTGTAATTAATATTAATATTGGATATTGAAAGCTAACCGAAACATAAATTGCTTGATGTTCAACAAAGAATTAATACGTACATGTTATTTAAATGAATAGTAAGCTCCACTCAAAAGAA